TAGTAGACAGCTACTCTAAGATCATGTTCAGTGTCCAACCTGTTCCTTTGCTTTGACTTGAGCTGTACCAAAGTGGAGAAGCCACTTTAACACAGATAGCTTGTTGTAAATAGTAGGATTGCTTTGACTGTCAATGTAGCGAGGGAGGGATACTCAGACATCACGTATTTGCACCAGAAATGGGGGAGCCGTACCTCATCAAATTTCTTTCTCAGCGTCTGGCTACATGACCTAGGTTAAATAGAATGTATGCCACTGCATTATGTATTAAAAGCCAATGTAAATGAATGAATGTCTTAAGCTATGAGTAAAAAGCTGTCAGGTCTGTAACATTTTGAAAACCAGTATGGACAGGCCAAAACTGGGTTATATGATTTAATTTACTTATACTTATGAAGAAAGGAGCTACAGCATTGTGAACCATGTCAAGGTGAGAGAGGGGTGATTTAATAACTAAATCTGGAAGAAGGTTGACTTCACAGCTGTGTTGATCTGCTTATCCACCATCAACTCACTATGAAATGTCATTCTTTTAGTTTTAAAGCTATGACAACTTTCTGCTGGTTCACCTTTTGCTCTATGCTGAAAGTCCAGGATTATCAGGCAACAAACTAAGCAATATAAACAGGCAGTAAATGATTGTAAGATGAAATAAATAGGAATACAAATAGAGTACTTAAAAATAGAGACCTGTACGAAACTGTACAAGGTATATTTACAGGTATTGCACTGAGGGTTATTGTCCAGTCATACTGTTGTGCGTCATGTGTTCCTCAGACTGACAGCCCAGGGGAAGAAACTGTCCTTGTGCCTGGTTGTCTTGGTGCACAGTGACCTGTAACACCGTCCAGAGGGGAGGAGTTCAAACAGATTGTGTCCAGGGTGTGAGGGGTTTGCAGTGAAAGGTCTGAAGTTTCACATCTGAGCGATTATAAAAGCTGCATTTCACCTTTAAATGACAAACCTTTTAAAATAATTACTACATTAGATTCCACCTGAAATAACCTGCTGCATCACGTGTGAAATGTTACCTTGATGGGCCACTTGTGATACCTTTGAAATATTTAGCTTTATTCTGAAAAGTGTGATGTTTTGAAAAATTGTGGATAGAAACATGAATGTCCTTGAAGAGCTGAACATGTTGATACCTGAAATAGCCGAAAGTATGCTGAAGTAGAATTTCCCCATTCATTTGAATCGGAAAATTCTACTTCAGCTATTTCAGGTATCAACATGTTCAGCTCTTCAAGGACATTCATGTTTCTATCCACAATTTTTCAAAACATCACACTTTTCAGAATAAAGCTCAATATTTTAAAAGTTTGCCCCTTTCAAATGAATGGGGAAATTCTACTTCAGCATACTTTCATAGCATACTCTTGTCATCTTGTTATCCTGTTATCTTCTTCTTTATTATTACTCTGGGTACTCTGCAATCCAAAATGTGTTGACAAGAGGTAGGACAGAGCGCTGTTTCATCCGTCTTAAATACATTTGTATTGTGCCAGCATTTCAAAGCTCCGGCTATCAAACCAAACCAGTCAGCTGATTCAATCTCAATGAAGCAGAAGTGGTTCGAATGTCATCAGTGATGTGGTTTTTCCTGATTTGAAGCAAGCTCCGGCACAGTGCTTCAGAAAAATATCCTTCCGAGTTTGAAGCAAGCTTCGGAGCCTTGGTATCAGAGGGAACATCACTAGTGACAGCTACTCTGTTTACTCCGACGCTGACAGCTACCTTGCTCACTCCTACACTGACAGCTACCCTGCTCACCTGCCCTATCCTCTGGTTCCTGTGTCCCTCCTGTCATCTCACCTACTGCCAGTACATCTTCCCGTCTTCTGGTTACTGCTGCTCATCCTGGTCTTCTCAGTTTCCACTGCTCAAACCTGGTTTGGACCACACATATACTCATTGACTTTGTTCTCTTACCTGCTTATGCTTGCAATAAAGACACTTATTCACTAGCACCTGAGTTTGTACACTGAGTCCTCCCCCTCACCAGGGGGTGACAGACAGCCAGACAAAATGATTAAATGTACAAATTCTAACATTTCAACAGGGTGCTGTATA